AGATGTTTTATTGCATAGGAATAGAGTTCCTCGGGGCTACCAGAATAAAGTATATGCACTGCATAGCTCAAAACAGAAATATATTCCCTTGTAGTTTTGGACATTAGAAGTTTAAGATTAAGGCGTCAGCGAGATTGCTAGTTTGTGAGGGTTCTGAAGGAAAGTCTGTTTTCTACCTCTCTCAGAAGTGTGTGTGTGTGTGTGTGTGTTGTTGAGGAGTGAACCTGGGACTTGCCCCATGCTGAACAAATGCTCTACCACTGAGTTACATCCATTCCCTATGCCTATTTCTTATCTTCTATTGATGACTGGAGATCTTTGATGTTGCTTGACTTATAGATCTGTATGTAGTTTCAGGCTTTGCCTCCTACTGGGGAGCAGATGAAGTCTTGAGGAAATGTGCATTGCTGACATGAGCACAGCCTCCACATGTTTGCTGTGGCATGCATGCAGATGTGTCACAAAACAAGGTAAAAAATAAAAGACTTTACAGGTGGTGGTGCACACCTTTAATCCCAGCATTTGGGAGGCAGAGGCAGGCAGATCTCTGTGAGTTCAAGACCAGCCTGGTCTACAAGACCTAGTTCCAGGACAGGCTCCAAAGATACACAGGGAATCTCTCTCTCTCTCTCTCTCTCTCTCTCTCTCTCTCTCTCTCTCTCTATATATATATATATATATATATATATATATATATATATATATGATCAGGGCATAAAAGGTTTTATAACTTTCTGTATTTAGGTTTTTGTTGGTTAGTTTGTATGTTATAGTTTTTTGTGGGTTTGTTTTTGTTTTGTTTTGTTTTTTTGAGACAGAGTCTCTGTGGCAGAAACTAACCTTGAACTTCTGACTCTCTTTCCTCCACTTCTGAAATGCTGGGGTTACAGGTATGCACCACCACTACTGGCTAAAAATGGATTCCTAAGGAGTTTTTCTCTGGTTAGGTTTTAGCTGATGGAAAAGGAATAGCATTTACGAAAGTGCTGAGAAAGCACTTTGGCAAATCTTAAAGCATGCATGGAGAAAGGACCCCCACTGTTTCACTTTGTGTTTCTTCCTCAAGCCCTAAGCACAGTGCTGCCCAAGAATTAAAAGATACCAGGAAGAGTTTAGTCCAAGGCATCTTCCTCCCACCCTCCCTCCCTCTCTCCCTCCCTCCCTTCTTTCTTTTTTTCTTTCTTCCCCCCCCCCCCCGGAGACAGGCTTTCTCTGTGTAGCTCTGTAGACCAGGCTGGCCTCAAACTCACAGAGATCCTCCTGCCTCTGCTAGGATCAAAGGCGTGTGCCGCCACTGCCCCACTATTGAGGACAGTTTTGACTTAGCTTCAGAAAGATGCATATGGGCTGGAGAGTAGGCTCAGTGGTTGAGAGCACTTGTTCTCTCAGAGGACTCAGGTTCGAGTCCTAGCACCCACATGGCAGCTCATAACTCTCTGTAACTCCAATCTCAAGGGATCCAAAGTCACCTTCTGGCTTCTGTGGGCATCAGACATACATGTAGGCAAAGCACCCACACAGATATAAATAAAGCAAACCACTGTTAAAGGTGCATATGATACTGTGTTCAACTCCTCAAAATTGGTACCTGTAATTCCAGAAGTTGAGAGCCTCAGGTAAAGTTACCTGTGAACTTGAATTCTTGGCCAGCCTGGGCTACATAATGAGTTTTAGGCAAGTATGAACTTTATAAGTGACTATCAGGGCAACCTGGTATACACTAAGACCCTTTCTCAAGAAACCAAGATCAAAACCCCAAAATAAAAAACCAAACTGCCTCCTGATCCAAGAATGTACTTGTTGACATAATTCTAATGGGACTTAATGTTTGTTTGTTTTTCTGTCTCTCACCGACAGCTTTCTCTCTCTCTCTCTCTCTCTCTCTCTCTTTGTTTTTGGTTTTGGTTTTTTGAGACAGGATTTCTCTGTATTGTTTTGGAGCCTGTCCTGGAACTTGCTCTGTAGACCAGCCTGGAACTCACAAAGAACCACCTGCCTCTCCCTCCCAAGTGCTGGGATTAAAGGCGTGTGCCACCAACGCCCAGCTTCACTGACAGCTTTTTAGACAGCATATGAACCTAGAATAAAAGTGTGGAAACTTCTAGAATATTAGATGCTCTGCCCTTGCTGCTTTTATGCTGTTCTCTGCTCATTCACTTCTTGTGAACTTTGTTCTCTGACAGCTCCTAGTACACAAGAGAGGGCAGTAGGCTGTGATGTTTACCAGTGCTCTAACTGGGACTTGAAATTTTATAGTCTAAATAAGAGTTAGATAAATTATGTCTTGCAGAGTCATTGGCTTGGAAACTATTTTCATGAGAAATCATATCTCATTTGATTAAAATAAAGACAGAAAATTCAACCTCGAGGAAAACTCATTTGTCTTCTAAGAATAGCATTTCTGATAGTCTAAGAAATTAGAGGTGGAAAAATCAATTCAAGCCAATCTAGTAGCTTGTCAGAGAGGGCTATGCTCTGCAAAATATATTCTAGTTCTTTGTCCAGGTTAATTTTAAATGTCTCAAGGGACGAGCACTCTTTACATCTCTTTGAAGTCTTTTTAAATCTTATTGAACCTCCTAAGAATGTTTTCTAATATGAAATATTCACTTAAATATTATTATATACTATTGCTTTTAATCACACTTTTTCCTATACAAATGCCATTTTCTTCCTTCAGTTTCTGTACTCTTAGTTATTTCTAACAAAATTGGTGTCCTCTCTCTGTCTCTGTGTCTCTCTTTATCCAGAGTCTCACATAGCCCACATTGGCCTCAAACCGACTATGTAGGTATGAACATCCTTGTGACCATTTCTGTCTCCATCTCCTGAATATTAGGGTCACAGGTGTAAGATATCACTTCCAGTTTATGGGGTGCTAGGGACTGAACTCAGGACCTCTTGCATGCTGGGTACTCGCTCTATCAGTGAGCTAAGTCCCTACCTTCAGAAGCTAGCCTCCATTTAACCCAGAAGTAGATGTCTACTGTTAATGAATTAACTGTCTGTCTGTCTGTCTGTCTCTCTCTCTCTCTCTCACACACACACACACACACACACACACACACACACACACACAGAGAGAGAGAGAGACAGAGAGAGAGAGAGAGAGAGAGAGAGAGAGAGAGAGAGAGAGAGAGAGAGAGAGAGAGAGAGAGAGAGAGAGAGAGATCAGAGACTTTCCATGTAGGCATGGGTAGAGGCCAGAGACTGATATTGGGGTGGTTTTCCTCAATTCTCAATTGCTTCTTTACCAATAATAATCTCTCTCTCTCTCTTAAAATATTTGTTTATATTTTTAGTGTGTGTGTGTGTGTCTGTTTTACCTGCATGTATGTATGCGAGCCACTTGCCTGGTGCTGGAAGAGGTCAGAAGAGGGCATTGTATCCCCTGGTGCTGGAGTTATAAATGGTTGTGAGCTACAGGTGCTGAGATCCAAACCCTGGTCCTGTGCAAAAGCATCAAAACTCTTAACTGCTGAGCCATCTTTCTCCTATCCCCAATTTCTTGAAAAGGAACTGGATGTGATGACACCTGGATGTGTATCTAACACCGATGCAGGAAGATTGTCTGTCTGGGAGATATAAAGAGAGTCTGTTCCCAGCTGGGCAGAGATGGTGCACGTCTTTAATCCCAGCACTCGGGAGGCAGAGGCAGGAGGATCTCTGTGAGTTCGAGACCAGCCTAGTCTACAAGAGCTAGTTCCAGGACAGCCTCCAAAGCCACAGAGAAACCCTGTCTCGAAAAACAAAACAAAACAAAAAAGAGCCAAAGAGAGTCTGTTCCCTAACCCCACCCAAGGCAAAATAAAAGAAAGCCCTATAAACCAATAAGCAAACAACACAACAAATCTCCAGAAGATCTCTATATCTTTTTTCTCCTTCATCAGCCACCCTTTCTTTTTCAGATTTTCTAATGTAGCCCTTTATTTGATCAAGAAGATTCTCAATTCCTTTTCAAATTGACAATGTATTTCTTGCCTATCTCTGACATAAGCCATTTTTCTCTCATAAATGATTCTTAGTTCCTTTTAAAATATCTTCTCTCTCAATGCTCTCCATCTCACATTCCCCATTTCTTTTCAATTACGTTTGCATGAGTTTAAACTTGAGCACTTTTGTTTTCTAGGCTGCATCGTGTGATTTGTATTGTACCCATTAAACATAAAGGTGACTCCCACCCCCACCCCTCGTTGACAAGATTTAAATTCTTGCCTTATCTGGGGAGAGGATTAACTGTGAGACACCCTGCACACTGGTACTCTGGACTGAAAATTTCTGCTGTCTGGTGATAGGGGAAACAGGGAACCCAGAAGGGTAAGGAGGTGGCATGTTGCCTGGGGTAGAGATTGCCCTGAGCAGGAGAACAAACATTCTTTGCAGCCAGAGTCCATTCATTAATATGCAGCTCCTGGTGACCTGGGGAAAGAGTGATGTGTGTCACTGTATGCTTTTGTGTACATTTAATTGAGTTTCTGTCAATTCTTCTATAGAGCCAACCGCTCCCATGGTTCAGAAACCAGGAAATTTGAATGACATTTACTAAATATGTTTTTCAATAGTAAAAATCTACAGAAGCATTTGACTCATTTTCTCTTACCACAGTTCATCAGGGATTAAAACAAAAGTAAAAACAGACACCTGAGCCACAACAAAACCAAACCTGTGCAGTGGCATCCTGTGTAGCCCTGGCTGTCTTGATTGGAACTCACTCTGTAGACCAGGCTGGTCTTGAACTCACAGAGATCCGCCTGCCTCTGCCTCCCAAGTGCTGGGATTAAAGGCATGCGCCACCAATGCCTGTTTGTTTCTTTGCTTTTTTTATGTGTGTGTACAAATGCTCACACATGCCATGGGGCACATGCGGAGGTCAGAGTTGGTTCTCTCTCTCTACTGTGTGGGTCCTGGGGATCAAATCAGGTCGTCAGCCTTAGCAGCAAGCACCCTTCCCAACTTAGCCACATCAATCACTCATTTTTCTGTTTTCATTTGTTGAACAGGCATTTGTTATCCTTCACATGATGAAATGGCAAAGAGGAGTTTATACAGCAACAGAGAACGGTACAACATGGAACCGGATGGATGGCACGCTATGGAAACATTCGACACATGGTGGAGTTAAAATGTGAGCAGCTGACTTGCATGGTCGATTCAGGAAGGCATTGGCCTGTGAAGGAAAAATGACTATAAAAATGCACAAGGCGAAGTTGATGAGAGTGGGCCTGGGCAAAACAGGGAGTGCATTCCAGGCTCCAGGAAAGGCATGCTGACGAGTGAAAGCGCATGACCTGTTTGACAAAGAATGATCGAGAATTGGCAAAGCATCATGGGTGAGTGAGTGGGAGAGGGGATGAAGCATTCCTTCTCCTGATGCTGAGCCTACATTTGAATGAATGAGCTCTGAATAGAAGATGCTCCCACCTACCATGGCGGGATCTGAAGGGAGGCATATGTACCCTATATTACCCTGTGTTGACAGTGAACTACTGGGCAGTTAACTTTCCCATATACTTTATTGTGGGTACATTAATGACAGTGGGTTCCTTTTACTTGTAGACAAGAGATAGCTCATCCAACAGAGGGTTTAATCTTCTAGTTCTGTTTTCTTTGTCCTAAATTTTGTTCAGTGAGTATGAAATACGCCTATTAAAAACAATTTAGGGCAGGCGGTGGTGCCTCAGGAGGCAGAGGCAGGCGGCTCTCTGTGAGTTCGAGGCCGGGCTGGTCCGACAGCATCCAAAACAATACAGAGAAACCCTGTCTCATAAAAACAAAACAAACAAAACAAAACAAAAACAATTTAGTGTGAAAATATGAATAATAACTTTGAAATATATATTTTCTGAGTGTATGTGCATGTGCAAATGTGGGCGTGCCCTGGCTCACCAGGTGTAAGTGTCAGAGGACGGCCGTGGGACTCACTTCTCTCTCTTCTCCACGTCAGACCTGGAGATTGAACTCAGGTCATCAGGTTTGGCAGCAGACACCCCTCCCCGCTGATCCATCTTGCTAGCCCTGAAATACAAATCTTAAATTAACAATTAAGGTGGCTTTAGGGAACAGATCCATAGTGACAAAAGGATCACATGGAAAACAAGTGGCAGTAGCAATGATTTTGAGGTGATTCATATTGAGTGCCTCCCTCTGAGATTCATGAGCAGGGTCCCCTCTCCTTTGGTGACAGTTCTATGATGCACACAAGTAGGTTATTAGTGTTACCGGATAAGAAAACAGGTTTGAGAGAAGTTAAGTCATTGCCCAGAAACCCCCATGGAGGAGGACATGGTACAGTCAGGATTTCAACCTGGATAGCTGAACATAGCGTCTCTGTTCTGTGAGCTTTCGGCTGCCTTTCCTTAAAGAGCTTCTATAGAAGAGATAATACCTGAACTGGACCTTGGAGTAAGTGGGGTTTGTCTCAGTAAAGATGGATGAGCATGAGTTCAGCCTGAGTAGGATGCATGTAAGAGCAGATGGGTAAAAGCCATTTGGTACTCCAGGCATGCTCACGGGCAGGTGGGGACCAAGAAGGGGCAGAGGCTGGGGGAGAAGTGTCTGAACAAGATGGGTAGCAGAGGAGGTCACTGGAGAGCCTGACTGGCATCCCTGAGAAATCAGTAGGTATAGGATCATCTGCTTTGTATCTGTGGGTAAATGAGGCGTAAGTTTAAGATCATGATTTGCTAATAGAGGTCAACTGACTAAAACTTTAGCAACTGAGGGAAGACTGGAATGTTGTGGCTCCACAGCCCAGTTATAAGTTGTCTTGGGTAATCGTTAGCCTATCAAATGGTCATTCCTTGCTCACCTCTGGGTCATACCTAACATTCCAATAAACAGACAGAAACCTAGTAACTTAATGGAATTCTGTCCTCCACCAACGGGGTAAACATGGATGGTGTCAGTGGTGTCAGGTTGCACCTGAGGCCTAGGACTGTGATTCTGCATCTTGCTGTAACCATTTCTCTGATATTCCCAACATTTTTTTTCTCGGAGACAGGGTTTCTCTGTATTGCTTTGGAGTCTGTCCTGAAGCTTGCTCTGTAGACCAGGCTGGCCTCAAACTCACAGAGATCTACCTGCCTCTGTCTTCTGAGTGCTGGGACTAAAGGCATGTGCCACCAATGCCCGGATCCAACAATGTAATGTGTTGCCTTCCCTGCCAGCTGCCTGGGCTCTGCAGAGCTGTCTGAACCCCCAAATAACACACAGGACACTATATTAATTATGAAGCTGTTGGCCATTTGTTATTGCTTTTCATTGGCTAGCTCTGACTTAATTATTGACCCATAAATCTTTCCAAGAATGCAGATTTGTGTCCCCTCTACCTAGGAATCACATGGCCACAGCTCAGTTTACTACATTTCCCAGAATACTCCTAGACTCCTAGTCCCACCTATCTTGTTTCCCTATTGGCCAACAGTGCTTTATTGACATATACACAGGACTTCTCCATCACAACAATATATTTTTTAAAAATGTCTTGATTTATGACTTTCTTTTTTCTGTTAGCCAAAAAAAAAGAAAAAAGAAAAAAAAAGTTCATGAAACTGCTTTCTCATTGGAATAGTGTGTTGGGAAGACCCAAGTCTATGTTCTCAGGACACGCTCACTTATATTTTAAACTCCAGAATAAACTACCTCTTATCTCCTTTGAATCGAGAGCTGTGTTTTTGTGTGGACACAGAAAAAAATAAACAAACAAATAATCAACAACAACAACAACCAAAAAACCAAAACCAAGAGCAAACCAAACCAACCAATAAAAATTAAACAACAACCACAAGAGGAGGAGGAGGGGGAGGTGGTGTCGGCAGCAGAGCTAGAGTGGTGACACCACCTATAATCCTGGAACTCAAGAAGCAGAAACAGGAGGATTGCCATGAGTTTACGGGCCACCCAGATTTCCTAGTGAGACCTTGTCTCAATAAACACATAAGCAAACAAACAGGTAAGAATAAAAATATGAGTAGTACATGTCCTCAACTCTGAGATTATCTTCTTACATAAAGAAAACCAACATAAACATTTTCTCCAAATTTGTATTGTTCTGTGCATAGTATTTAAGAGCACAAGCATAGCTGGGCATGGTGGCTTACACTGATTCTCTAGAACTGGAGGAAGGAGAATCAGGAGTTCAAGGCCAGCCTCAGCTACATAGTGAGCTCAAGGCCAGCCTAGCCAACATAAGACCCTGTCTCAAAACAAAACCCAGCAAACCCAACCAAGCAACCAAGCAACCAAGCAACCAACCAGCCAACCAACCAACCAACCAACCAACCAACCAACCAACCAACCAACCAACCCAGTGTAAGTGCTAGGCAAAATATCTAGTTCAAATCCTACTTGAACCTAGTTCTGTTCAAACATTCTGTCTTTCTTCAGTTATGTCCCATGCAAAAGCCTAACTTCTCTATGGGTAATGCAGGGATATGTAGCACCTCCCCCGATGGGAACTGTAAAGTGTCTCACCAGCCTCTGGCACATGCTCAGTAAAGCTAGCTAGTCTATAACCAGCACCTTGTGATGCCTTCCAACTTCGCACCTCTGTGTTCTGACATTTACTCCACTCTATTTTTGCTTATGAAGAAGGTATTCTTTCAGATCTCTAAATGTCAGAACATTCCCAAAAGAAATACACACCCATCAAGATAAAAAAGGTAGTGTTGTGGAGAGTTCTTATCTAGATATTGCAAGCATCTCCCACCTCCACGGTTTTAGGATACAGCCCTGGCTAATCTGGAATTAACTTTGTAGACCAGGCTGGTCTCCAGTAGAGGTCTGCCTGCCTCTGCCTCCTGAGTGCTGGGATTAAATCTATGGCCACCACACCCAGCTTTATTTTTGGCTTCCATGCTGTGAAAGGATTTGGAACCATCACTAAAGCAAACAAGGACCCAATATTTTGTTGCAATCATTAATTTCATTTGATTTCACCTCAAATAGTTCATTACAAGAGATGGCCAAATAAAAGTACTTTAAACTCTAAATGCTGGCACAAAATACTTCCTTCTGTTTTGCGAAGACTTTTGCCGTTTGACCGACACAGTTAGTGCCTAGGGTTTGGCTGTCTTAGATGTGGTTTGGCAGGTTGTTGATGGAGGGATGTTCAAAGCTCAATGGACTTCATAGTAAGGAACGAGTCCTTTGTTGCCACTGGTTTGTATGTTTAGCTTTTGGATCCAAAACCAGCACTGTATTAATAAACCTGGGCATTGTGGTGGATGCCTGCAATCCAGCACTGGGGAGTTGAGTGAGGCACGAGTTTCCTGGCCAGTGCCACCTAGATTTGCATTTGGTCTCTTTGACCTTGGAGTTCAGGCTAGCCTTGAATTCACTGTCTTCCTGCCTCTGCCTTCCTTGTGTTAGGGTTTCATCACAGCAGGCTGATCTGTCTTCTTTTAGGAAGCCATTGACGTCTCTGGGGTATAAAGAGGTAAATGCTACTGGAATCTAAGTCTTGGTGTAGGGTTGGTTCTATAATGTTCTTGGAAGTGTCCTTTCCACCAAAATTCCTTGCAACACCCACACATCCACTTAGGAGGGCTTTTTGCCGTATGGAATTTACAGGAGTAATTTTTAATGTGCGGTTCGTTCCCAGCGTTCACTTCATACTTAATAAAGCAAGAGCTCAGAATATTCTTGGAATAGTTCATTTCCTAAGAAAACAGTTCATGTGTGAGTCAGCACTAAAGGGAAAAACCCACTCACAATAGCTATCAAAATTGCATGAGGCGGTCAAATGAGAAATGATTTTCTTTGTAAACTCAAACGATGAGGTAGAGAAAGCCATTACTTATGTATAACATGAGTGTGGTGAGGTCGCAGGCTTTCTCCACTGTTACATCCTCAGTCTACCTGGATACCTAGAATTCTCTCCTCCTTAAACGTCCCTTTCAGGAACAGAAGAAAATGGGGGTTGGACGCAGGAAGGAGCAAAGGGCCGTTCAAAGCCTGCTCTCCCGTCCCCTTTAGTCCTCCCTGGAAATAACTGAGGGAGTTTCCTCCAAGCAGCTGCAGGATGCTCCTTGGCGGGCCCCTCACGACTGGCTGGGGGGTGACTTCTCGACTTTTCCCGCGAGCAGTCCGAGGTGGGGAAAACTGGAGACCCGGTCGGTACACGGTGTCTGGAGCAGGCACGGAAGCGTTTCCCGGGTGATCCTGGAGACCTTGCGGGTTTCCGGAAGGGTGATTGCATCAGGTGTGGATCAGGGCTCCTCCTCCGCCCAACCTGGCGCCCACCGCGCCTGCGCGTCCCGCCCCACCCCGCCCCGCCCCGCCGCCTATGTGGACTCCAGAGCCGGTTTTCCTGGTGTAGACAGCCTGGAGG